TCCAATCTGCCCAGGTAGGTATGACCTCTTCCCCAATCTGCCCAGGTAGGTATGACCTCTTCCCCAATCTCCCCAGGTAGGAATGACCTCTTCCCCGGCCCCTGGTCAGCCTTGGAGAGGCTAAAGGGCCTCACATGTGAAAGTTATTCCCCACCCCTGGGCCAAACAAAATTCTAATAAATGGATCTTCTCCTTATCAACCTTGGTTCCACTAAGTAGATGCCAAATCCAAATTTAGGCTCAAACCTGGCTTCACCTCAGATAAGAAACGAAGTCAAGGTAAGCATCAGTGGCTCACACCTGAAATCGCAGCTTTGCAGATTAAGATCTGCAGGTCTGAAAGCTGGCACAGACGAATCAGAAAGGCTCTTTTAGCCAGCAAAAAGCTAGAAGTAGAGCTGTAACCCAGGTGACACAGCACTAGCTTTAAGGTGAGAGAGAGGTGTCAAGATGTGATGTCGCGCACAGCTTCAGCGGCACCTCTCAGTGTACGTGCTGGAAGAGGCTCTTCCCTTACTCTCCTGTTACTGGCGGCACCTTGAATCCCAGGCACATTCCCGGTCCCTGCTACACTTGCCCACCAAGTGAACAGACATACCCATGAAGCAGTCCAAAGCAATAAAGCATCTTTCGTAGGCCACCCAGCAAGTTACTGAAAGAATCCAGGGCCTAGCTCTCACTCCAGAATCTTGGAAGATTCTAGAAGAAGTGCACATGTTCTAGCCTTCACAGACAAACCAGAGACAAAAACTGCTATTAAAAAGAAAATCCCCTATTCCTTTCCACTTCAACATCCCTCTTCCAAGTAGCAATCACAAAATCCGTACAAACAAGCCATTCCCTGCCCGTTGAGGTCAAAAGTTGATCCAGTACAAAGTCAGACTGTGAGCTAAAAAACATACTCCCAACTGCACAAGTGGAAGGTCTAAGAGTTCAATTCTACTCCAGGTTCTAAGGAATTCTTCTCAGCCGGAAACCAGGCACTGTGGAGCAGGCTCTGTGGTTTCCTGCAGGGCTCTGGGACTGCTGGGAGCATGGCTACTTATGCAAGGATTGCACTTCCAGGTCAGGAGTGCCCAGACATCCCTGGCACCTCTGAACCCACGGCAGACTTCCACTGAGACTCAACTTCGCTTCCTCTGGCACTGTACGAAGCTCACCCGCCAGATGCCTACCTCTGCTGACTGAGGAGCCTGGTCCTAGGCTGTATTTCCATAGAGATGGAGGTCAGCAGTGGTGTGAATTCTCTCTCTATCCACGGTCCAAAGGAGACATGTTCTTCTCCCTTCTCAATGGCCACACAAGTCTTCTTAATGATATTAGGTCAAATAATACGATTTTTCAAATTCCCTATAAAAAGAAAAGTTAACAGTTCCCTAGAAGCGAGTATCTATCTATCTATATCTATATATACACCTTTCCAACAAAGACAGCGTATCAAACTATCTGAAACAATGCTCTTCCTTTACAAATTTCCGGAGCTTCATTTGGAGGTCTTCTCCCTACTCCAAGGCGGGACGGGTGCCTAGGAGCATGGCCCCACCCCAGTGGTACAAGCATCACTCCACCCTCCCAAAAGGATCGCTGTGATCACACTGAGGTTTGCTGTTTAAAACCTTCAGAGACCACACAGCCAAATTCTCCTAACCTCCGCCAGGGTCTGGATCAATAAGGGCTTGCCAGGACTAAAAATAGCCTGCACATGCGTGTGCACACACTTACACACACTGCCTCTTATGGACACGGTGTTTGCACCGCACCACTCCCCAAACTCCCAGATTGAAATTCTATCTGCAATGCAATGACATTAGTGGGAAGTCATCAGTCCTGAGAGCAGCATCCTTATGAATGGGATTACTGTCCTTGTAACGGAGACCCTGGAGGGCCTGGCGTGGAGGTACACAGCTATGCAGAAGGCAGAGCTAGCAGCATCAAGGTTTGAGACAAGGCCAGGCACCTAGCTCAAGACTCTACCTAAATTCAAAACAGCAGCAACAACAACAAATCCGGAAAAAAAAAAAAATATCTAAGAGCTAAAGGGCCTGGCTGGACTGGTAAGACCTGAGTTCGATCTCAGTACTGAGGGCAGGGGAGAGGGGTGACAGACACACACACATGCATACACCACAGCTGGGATATTAATCTTTCTCTTCCCCATTCTCTCCCTTCCATTTCTGTGGTCCAAGAGGATGCGAAGAAAAGATGGCCACCAAGAGGCAGGGTGTAAATGCTCCCCAATGCCGAATCCGCCAGGGCCTTATCTTAGACTTGCACAAATGCCAGTTGCATGAGCAATAAATGTTGGTTACTTACGCCAGTCACTCCAGCAGACTGCCTTTAAGAAGTAATACACGCACCAAAGTGCCAGCTGTGCCCGGCAAGCTCTCTAGGAATGACCAATGCTCTTTTCTGAACCCCAACAGCACAACCTGTTAAGTCTCAACTTAATAAACCTTCCCTTATGCCAGCTGCCGGCGGCTCACGCCTGTAATCCTAGCTACTAAGGAGGCTGAGATCTGAGGATCACGGTTCAAAGCCAGCCCCAGCAGGAAAGTCCATGAGACTTTTATCTCCAATAAACAATTCAGAAAATGGGAAGTGGCGCTGTGGCTCTAGTGGTAGAGCCTTGAGCTGAAGAGCTCAGGGACAGCACCCAGGCCCAAAGTTCAAGCCCCACATCCGATAGATAAACAAGCAAACCATCCCTTCAACAGGAGCAATGGCTCAGGTTAGACTCAAGGGTCTGAGGTTGCACCGGCTACTCGGGTCAAGCTTAAGACCTGACTCCTACCCAGCTTCAAGCTGGCACGCAGTGACCTCTCTGAGGGTGAGGACCCCACTTATTCACCTCTGCATCCCCACAGCTCAACACAGGCAAACAGTAAGTGCACAGACACCCAACAAACAGCTGCAGAACAAACGAGCATAGAGCTCTGGAGAAAGATACACCAAGTTTAAGACGTCCACATATAGACTGGTATTCCAAGAGAGTCTAGATTTCAGGAAGGGATGAAGGATGGATCAGAAGACATGGTCCCAGTTTTGCCAAAAACTCACTCTACTGTCCTGGGCAACCCCCCCCCCCCTGCAGGGAACCGACTTCCCCTCTTCTGGAAGCTCAGCTCTGCAGACAACCAGGACATCAACCTGATAAGGGCAGTGGACCCAGGGCCTTCAGATGCCCCTTATCTTGGACAGACACTGAAGGGTAACAAACAGCAGGCAGTAATTTCAGTGGTAGGTAAAGCTCTGTCCATTCGCCTAGGCTCACTTCTGATGACCTGTTTCTGGGTCATTCATTCCCTGTGGTCTCTTTCTTGGAGATGTAAATATCAATGATTTTACTATGCCAGGCAGAAAAGTCTCTACGTGGAACAGACCCCAGACATTACTTCCAGGTAATAAACAGATTCTACTCAGATAAAGAAGAGCAACCTGGGGCTGCATTCCATAGACTCCTCACGCCTGGAAGCATCAGGTCTGAGCTCTAAACGTGAGCCAGACACTGCTGAATGCTTACTTTGGCTCAGACTCTCAATGTGGAGTGGATGGTCCCTGGCCAAGCCTCTTCTCTTGAAGCCAAGTTCTAGATGGGCATGACACCTTCCATAAACCATCCCAGTTACAGTAAGGCCTTTCTCAGCCGTAAAATGCAGCCAACGCCTCCACCCAAATGATGAAGCCATCAGGAGACAATATGGCTTGGGTGGAGGGCCCAGAGGCCTCAGGGCTCTCTACTCTAGGCCCAATTCCTGTGCTAGAAAGCGAGGAAAGCCAGGAGAAACTTACACCATCCAGAAGAGCCCCTTGCAAAGCTCATTAAAGCATATGTTGAATTCCCAACATTAACCAACTGTGAATAAGTTAGGCCTGGCTCTCCCCTACAGCAGGACACTTGAGACAGTGCAGGTAAATCAAGGCAAAGTAACCGAGTATAAAAAAGAAACAGATAAAGGTCTACTCCTGAAATAAGACAGGCTGTTCAGGAACTGTGTTCATTTTACTGTTTTCTTTTTTTTCCCCCTCCTCCTTTCTTTAACCATTAGGTACGAATGGATACCAGATACACAGCACTGGACAAAGAGGTTCAGAGATACGATCGGCAAAGCTCCCCACCAAAGCCCAGCTAATAGCACTCTGGCTGATTAGAAACCACTTGTGTCATTTGGGAACTTGAATCCGCTCTTATCAACCCTCTGGCTTCATCACTTATCAGGGCGGGAATGCAAGGTACATCAGCTATGCAACAGAGTGATTTCTGGGGCCTCTGCCTGTGAAGAAGCAGATCAAAAAAGAGTTCGTGCCTGCCAGAGCGAAACTCTCACCATAGCAACACATGTTATTCTACAAACAGTCAGGACTAAGGCGCACTGTTGGGACCAGTCTGGATCCCGCCTCTGAGAAACGAGCCACTCGGTGCAGACAACAGCAGGCAAGAGAAGCGGCACCTAGTTAGCTTGCAGGGCAGTCTCCTCATGGTCTCCACTTCTCCACAAAGCTGACGAGAGGCAGCCCCAAGACCTGCCCACTACTCAAGGCGGGGTCCTAGTAAGATGAATGTCAGTGCTCTGCAGGGGGCAGCTGTACCAGCGTTCCCTGGGGAGGAAGAGCATCAGGACCGTCCCGTATGGAGAGCAGACAGTAGACGGCTAGTTCTGGAGGACTTGTCATCTTACAATGAACTGCAACCAGGGGGGTAGCCAATGAACTTCTTCGAAGTGTATCACAAGTTAGTCACAGAAAAACAACTTACATCGGCATGTATATGTCTGTTCCATTAACATTCTTTTTCTATTAAGACAATAGAAAAAGTGTGTGTGCATGTGTGTTTTTTTTTAAGTACTGGGGACTGAACTCAGAGCCTCATGCTTGCTTGGCACACACTCTACTGCTGAGCCATATTCTGCCTCCCCTCGCCCTTTCTAATGTCCTACTTTGCAGATAGGGCCTCTTGGGTTTTTTTGCTCAAGAGCCACCCTTAAGACTGTGGCCCTCCCTACCTCCCACATTGCTGGGATCACAGGCAGGAATCACCAGGCCAGGCTTGGAGGCCCCAGCAGGCTCCAACTGAGAACCCAGGATCTCTGCCTCCCAGTAGCCAGTGTAAGCCACCATTCCTGGCTAAAGCACAATCATTCTGCAACTTAACATTAAAAGACAGGACCAAGCCAGGAACCAGTGGCTTGTGCCTATCATCCCAGCTAGTCAGGAGGCTGAGATCTGATGATCAAGGTTCCAAACCAGGCTGGGGAAGAAAAGTCTGTGAGACTCTTATCTCCAATTAACCAGCAAAAAAAACCAAACAAAAAAAAACTGGAAGAAGAGCTATGTCTCAAATGGTAAAGCACCAGCCTTGAGGGGAGAAAGCTCAGGAACGGTACCCACACCCTGGGTTGGAGCCCCAGCATCAGTACAAGGGGAGCAGGTTGATTTCACAGGTAGCTGGAGGATGTGAACGTGCCCCCAGCCCTGTGGACTAATGGCTGCGACCTACGCGATGGGCTTGCATTGTACAGTTACAAACACTTCATCCTCCAGAGTCCATCACAGTCCCGCTGGGAAAGAAGGTGGTTGCTGGACAAAGGAGAACCAACCTGCTTCCAAAACAATTAAAAAGCAAAAGCGGGCCACTCCCCTCTCCCTCCCCTCCCTGCTGGGTCCCAAATCCTTAAGTCACCACAGACCTACAACTGACAGGCTCAGAATCTCAGCAACATTTCTTCACAGCTGCAGAGACGGGAGGAAGAAAACCAACAAAAGTTTCTGTCTGAAAAATGACTTTTTAAAGGTAGTGTATAAATCGCTTCCTCTTTCTTCCAGACGGCCTCTTCTGCTCACTCTCTATTGGCTAATGAAAAAAGTACTCCTCTCCGTGCCTGTTTCAGTCGGAAACGTGGCACAGGACACTGGAAAGCCAAGGGGAAAGGAGAGGGGAGGCTACTTTCAAGTGTGACACATACACAGCACCCCAACTCACCCCACACCGGGAGGACCCGCAGGCCACACTCCACCTAAGAGAGCACTGAAGGTACAGAAAATCTGGGGCACCACCTCTCCCAAAAGCAGAGTTAAGAAAGAGAAGCTGGAAAAGGAGGGGGGAATAAAGTTCCACATTCCTGACATTTTTTAGCCAAGTGCTGTGGCTGAACAGTACAGCTCTATTCCAAATACCCCCAGGATGAAGAGAAAGCCAGGCTGCGGAGAAGAACCTGCCCGTGCCTTGGGAATTAGATGGCCCAAAACTAAACCAAAAGTGTGTGTGTGCCTCTGTGTGTGTGTGTGATTTGTGGAGTCCAGACAGCCTTTCATGTGCGTTCCCAAGAGGAAGTGATCCCAAGGGAAGGAATTCAAAGTCAACATCTCCCAGACAGAAAGCTAAAGCCCCAGAGGTCCTGAGAGGGAAACGGAAGCTCTGTGAAGGTCTGCAGAGATCACTGAGGCAAGGCTTAGGTGGCCTTGAACAGTTTGGGGGAGATGGGGCTCAGCTCACTGGCAGAGGCTGGACGGGGGCTCCAGAGGGAGGCCAAGAGGGGAAGAATCATAACTGAGCTTTCCACACCCAGCTTCTGAATAAAGGGGCCCTAGCCTGGCTCAAGGAAGAAGCTCGGATGCTGGATGGGTTTCTTTCCTTTCTCCCCGTTCCTCCGGCGCCTCTTTCTGTCCCCACTTCTAGGAAACCCCACCTCAGGTTCTGGACCGACCTTTCCACTGTATGCTTCCCGGTATACACATACCACTACACACCTCCAGGGGGCACCTGGCGGACCCTAAGTAATACCTACTCAGTCTTCCTCCCTCCAGTCCCTTAAGCCCCACCACTGGTCCCTCTGAAGTTCCTACATTTTCTGCTCTCATTTGGGAGGGGTGGCAAAGTTCCATGCCCACAGCTCCCCACAAAAGAGTATCTCTGAACAGAGGTGGTCAGCAGGAATAGACAGTGAGGAGCTACCGTGCACCCAGCACGAGCAGGAGTTCTTCCCAGTGGAGATCTGAGACAAAGCCTTCTTCCTGCCAGGACATTACAGCCTGACCACCCTGGCATCTCGCAGGAGATGCCAGCCCTACAAGTCCCATTCCTACATGGCCCATTCCTAGCAGGGAGGGACAGCAGTTGTTTTTTTGTTTTTTCTCATTTGGGTCCTTTCTCCTCCCTCCTAACACATCTCAACTTCCACAGGTTGGAAGGTTTAAAGCACAAGGCTTTCCATAAGAAAGGCAGAAAAGGAAGGAGGTGGGGAACTCAATTGCTAGGCAGCTCTCTTGGCACCAGACTAAAGCAGGTATAGCCAAAAACTTTAACAAACACTACAGCATAACGGACAGCCACAGACCAGGTGAGAAACTTGGCGAGCTGCAAGCTGGTGGCTATGAAGTTCATGGCCAACACATGTGTCTTTGTAACCATAGCCTCCGGACTAGGGGTCCGGCACTGGAGTGGAGGATGGTAAATATAGACAGAAAGATACCGAGTGGGTTAAACCAACCCTCTGATTTCTCATTAACTTCATAGTAACAGTGTTCTAGAGGCCCGAAATTGGTTCTCACGTTGGTAGGATGCATGACAACGTTTGTTGCTGTGATCTGGGCTAAACTTTACAATCACTCTGCGAGGAAGGCAGGCTCTGCCAACTCCTCCACTGATGGGGAAACTGAGGCTGTGGTTAGTTTTTCCCGGGAGATGAGGGACAGAGGTTAGGGAGTGGGACACAGTCCTGTCCTGGGACAGCCATGGTGTGTGTGTGTGGGGGGGGTTCCCTGGAGAAGCAAGCGGAGACCCCAGTCCCAGGGTATTTCCTACAGACCGTGAGGCTCGGCCAACGACGCACGCCCCCGGCCAACCTCGACCCGGCCACAAGAATGTCCTCAGGTAGAGGACAGCTCATCACCAGCTGACCAGACCGGAGATGAGGGACCCAAGGGGCAGAGGGCCTGGGAGAAGGGCCCCTCCATCTCCACCCCGGCTGTTAGGCGGTTACAGCGTGGTGACACGGGCCCCAGGACGCAGATAAGCAAGTCTCCCGACCAGCGACAAGGAGCCTCCTCCGAAGAGCCGGGAGACAGGGGAGAGCCGCCACATATCTCACTGGGAGACAAGATATGCCGCGGCCAACCCACACCCGAGTTCCCCAGCCCTCCTCCTCCTCCCCCTCCTCCTCCTCTCCGAGGAGCGCGGTGCTCCCGGCCACTGCCGCCCCGCAGCCCCAGCTGCCGGCCCATCGCGGGCCTCCCCTTCCCCGCACGTGGATGCAGGGCCGCCGCGGGGTGCAACAGGCTGCGGCGGAGAGGCCGAG